AGCGTCATGTTCAAGTGGATTTTGCAACTCAAAAAAAAATCACGCAAATCTAAAACTTCTTGAATTCAAGCATTTTTTGAGAAAACTGCCAACATCTTCTCATCCATGGTTCACTTTCTAAAAAGGCCATTTATTTCTGTCTAGAATGATGTACAAATGAACGTTCTTGCTCATTTTGCCTCCGAGATATGAGCAAAAACGAAACGGAAAACATGGAATTTTGCAATAATCAATGTGGGAATTTGAGTTCGTAACATTTTTTCGAACATTTGCATCTCCCTAGATAGAAAAGGTCTAAAATCCTGCTGGTACAATGAAAGAAACTGCAATTTTCCATGGAGAACGCTTGATAATTTAGTTCCCTGAAGGTGCAAATTGCGTTTAAACCTCTGTTTCGATGGCTCTTCCAAAAGATGACCAGAAAGACCAAGATGACTAGAAACGTGTAGGAATATTAATGTTTGAAAAATATTCCATCTGCTGGCAACATCGATGTGAAAAGCGGCGACTTATCCGGGGCTTATCTGGTGTACATAAAATTATCACATTCGATTCTGATGCTGATGTATCGTCAATTAAAGTCGACAAATCAGTTCAACAGAGTGATGAAGCACTGATTGTCATTGACAATCACATGATTAAGTGCGTGCTATCTGGATTGGCGGAGGGTCGTGGTAGAGGACACGCGTGATTTCCGATCCAAAGTTTTCGAAAATTGTTACAAATAATCCAGAGCGTTTATCAAACCGAAAATGATTAAACACTGCTTAATTAAGACGGCTGGTCATTTTTCTACTGGTTTCAAAGGAATGAGACAAGCGCCTAATAAAAACGACTTATTTATTAAACAAATAATGTGATTCATACAATGTCGCTTAACCTACTAGAATCGACCCTTTTGCAAGACCCGTGTTGCCCATGAATCATCAGTAACCAAAGCAATTATCATCATCCCAGATCCCAGTTAGTGTGTCCACAGCGCGCAAACTGCTAAGACTGGAAGGGTCTGGCAAGAGCACACTGTGGGTGATTAGATGCCTCGATGCGGGGGAAAATGAGGGCAAAAGAACTTACTTATGTAACAGGTATCAACAAAACAGGAAAAAAACTGTGCCGATCGAATCGCGTTCACCCAACAACACTTCGCTCGTTCTAACACATTTAACAAAAATTCAGCGGCGCGTTCGGTGCTGTTGGGCCATGAATTTATTGTTGCCGAACAGCAATGAACACGCCGGCGAACGGCTCTTATGTCAACAATCACAGGTATTCCTAAGAATTATCTTACCGTACGTAACAAATATTTATGAGAATAATAGAAATCTGTACAGGTTTTCACAAAATCTATCTATAATATATTGTACAATGTTCCTTACGGTCTAGAAATTAACGATAACGCGTCGCTTGCTGGTAGATACTCGGCCTGGCTTCGAGAGAGTCTGCCAAATACGCGTTAAGTCGCTTTCGTTGCTTCTATAACGTCCTTTTAGAAAATCGATTAGTTGGTAGTTTTGTTAAATTTTAATCAGTACTTCAGTCTTATAATTTACTTTAAATTCTGGAACGTCGCAGCTCTCTCCCTCGTTAAATAATTGAGGTTTCTCCATTAAGACGATCAAAGATCGAACCGATACCAGATGGATTGTTGGCAAACTGCAGTTTCGTTGTTGCTCGGTGTAGGCACTGGGTTGAGCAAAGAACTGCACCAAACCGAAAGGAAATTGATGCAGTTTCACGTGCCTTTCGACTTATGTACCAGCAAGCAACCAAATATCCATTGCCCAAACAAGCTGCACTCTTTCAATTCATTTAACGTTCGTGGACGATTCGCACTGGTCAAGTCCACATACCCATCTGGTCATCGGAGTGAAACACAACAGCAAATTTGAGTTTGGAAGGGCTTTTTCAAGACCTGCTAACTATTAAGTACACCTTTCAGCTGGGAATAACCGAGTCTAAATCTCTAAAAGAGATGTTGGTGGTGAATTCTTTTGAAGTGTGTGTCTCACTCCCAGTTCACGCTTCCATAGTGTTCAGGGGGGATGAAAAAAAAACGCATTTCCCTCCTCTGTTAGGGTATCCGCCGACCAACTAAAGATTATTTAAAAATTTTCTAATGTAAATCAGTCTTCTGCAGGAGCGCCTCTCGCTCTCGCTCTCGATAAACGGATCCTCCTCCTCCGTCTCTTCAGTGCCGTTTCATCTGTTCCTCGTCCTCCTCGCTTAAGTATGGCCCATGTTCAGTCTCTATTGTACTCATTGCCGCGTCTCTCTACGATGGCCGATGCCTCAGCAGGTCTGACGGCGAATATTGCTCCTCCAACTGCAAAAGAAAAAAATTTCGTTAAAAATCGCGAAAAAACCTTTGAATGGGAGACTCGAACAACCTTTGGCATCTTCAGGCTTTCGGTGCCGCCAACGAGCGGCCCATTGCAGAACGGCATTTCGGAGGGCGACAATTGAGGAGGCTGCGAATCCACACTGGTGAGTCGCTGCCTCTTTACGTGATCGGGCGACTCATTCGAGCCCCTCTTGCCGTTGGACTTTGAAATGCGCAGATGTGGAGGCTTCGCTGCCTGCAAAGACAAGTGGGTTTTTCATTTTTGGTTCCTTGTTTACGGCCAACGCTGTCTTATGGCCGGTTTTTGAAACGACCTTTATAGTTCCAATAGCCTAAACGGCTCTATAAGTCGGAAAAATGGGTTTCTGAAACGTTCGATAAGAGCTGGCGGTTCGATATATTGAAGAACCGATAAAGGTGCGCTCTCGGACCTTGATCGGTTCTATACATAGAGTAAGTAAAATAATTTACTTTCTTTTCTTATTTTACTTTCTCTATGGTTCTATAAGTTGTAGGAGCGGCGCACGCAAGCGTATTCAGTCTGTATCTATCTTATCTTATCTCTTATCAGTCTTTATCTATGAGCGTATTTGCTATTAATGTCAAAAGTCATCGCAAATCAGCTGTGAGCAGAGAAAACGTTTTGGGAWAACAATAATAACATTTTTGGGAGCGAAAYTGGTGCGTGAAAGTGAAGAAAARTTTTGGAAAATTCCACTTCGGACTCATCTGACGAGGAAGTTTTTGATGTTCTCAGTAATKAAATAACTCGCCATTTTCGAGCACGGAATGATCATTTTGTGAAATTCAGCGAAGATGAATYCCGAGATCGTTYTCGTTTAACCAAAAACGTTGTTCACTACTTAGAAGGCTTAGAAGAGTTACTTAAGGATCAAATTGAGCCAGTGACACAGAGAAACCATAGTTTATCTGTTTTTATAATATATATATAAGGTTTTATGCATTTCATAACAATGCCAACTTTTGATCAAGAAATAAGGCAAGTAAAATCGGATTTTTATGCCATTAGAGGATTTGCAAATGTATTGGGCTACATTGATGGATTTCACGTTCCAATACAATCACCAGGAGGAAGCAATGCAGAACTATATAGAAATAGAAAGGGATATTTTTCTGTCAATGTACAGGTGATTTGTGATGCAAAATTATGTATACGAAACATTGTTGGAATGGAATAAAAGTTGGAAGCAGAAGAAAGAGTTTGATACTCGGCCATCCACGGTACAATATTTTAAATCCATCTATGTATTACATAATAAAAAATGTTTTGCATTTAAGCAAATGGACTGATAACACTAGGCAAAGCAAGTCACTCTAACCCGTCTCTTCTTCTTCGTTATATGGCTTTTCCCACAGATTATCAAGCTTTACCTACTTTATCGACTCGATAAGTTATAGAACCTACAACTTCAGCGGACCGATAGTTATCGAACCAATAAGGGCAATCGTCCAGAAACCGGGCATTAATAGGGTACATTCGATTAGGAACAATGCTTTGCCCATTTGAAGGAACGTTTGAGACTGGGAAAAGGATCTCACTTACTGGAAACTCGGGTGTTTTGTTTACAAATAAGGCCGGGACTTTGGCAATTGGACTGCATTGAGGATCGGATCCAGAGCATGGACTAGCGGAGTCATCCATTTCCGGAGAGGGAAGATTCTGCATCAGCTCATTGATGGCCAATTCCAGAGCTTGCGGGTCCTCCGTCCGATCCACCTTGGATGGCGAAATCGTGGGCAAAGCCGGCACATTCTGCTTCCAGGCCTACAATAAAGCCGGTTGAGGAAGAGCTTCGCCGCAAAACGGGCGTTCACTTACTGGACCCGCGTGTTCTGCTTGCGGCAAATTGGCCAACGAGCTGGTGAACAAAGCGCTGAAGCGTCGCTTCATTTCGTTGATCAGCTCCTTGCCCTCCTGCTCATCCACCAGGACGTTGACGCACAAGAACGACTCGACAATGCCGTTTTCGTCGATCTCCAGAAACCCGAACGTCTTCAGGTAGATGAAGTTGCCGTTGCGCGACTTGAGACGATAGCAGGAGTTGCCTTTGCTCTCGCCTTTGTCATACACTGAAACAGAAGAGCCGATTAGAGCGCGAGCTCGATGCGCACTCGCATGTGGGCAGCGGTTACTTTGTCTCAACGCGATCATCACGAAGCGCACTTCTTCCTTGTGCATGTACTGGAAGGCGCTGTGGCCTTGGATCTCGTCGATCATGTAGCCAGCGATCAGCGATATGCGCTGATCGCAACCGACTATCCGCCCATCGATCAAATGTCTAGTCCGGTACTCGTCTCTAGTGGCGATCACTAGCCGGTCCACCAGCGGCTGAGGACGGGTGATTTTCACCAGAAAAATCAAAACCTGCAAATTAAAATTGTTATATTTTAACAGGTAAAGAGTAGCTGAAGCGGCTGGCACGCGAAAGTAAATTGAAAAACTATGATAAGTTTGAATAATCGCGAATGTTCGGGATCCCTGCTGTATTCAATGCCACTTTGATATCTTTTTCCAAACGAGTTTAAGCGAACAGAGTCAAGAAGACGCTAATTTATACAACACATGCTTGCAGTTTGGTGGTGGTTTATTAAGCTTGTAATCGACAGGCTCTAAAATTAAGCTCCAAAGTGTGTACTGAGTGTTTTATATCTGTGTTTTTAAACTAAATATTGTAAAAATACCCTATAAGTGCTGTGTACCCAAGTGCAAAGGAAATTATAGTGGCGAATCAACAGTGAGTGTGTTCAGTTTCCCAAAAGACGATGGGTTGTTAAA